TTGGACCTGCCCCAATAACTGGGGCCTTCATTTGAACCACCTGATTTGTTTGAGACAGCTTTCAGATTTGAGAAGGGCTGTGTCTTCGCCAATTTTTCCTTGGACTGAATTCAGATTATCTTAGTGTATCTTTGTCAGGATGTTGTCTTCTGTATGCCCAGCCAGCCATGTTTCCAAATTGTCTTTTGGTCACAAGTCTTGAATCAAAGCTTGGCTAGAAAGAAATGGCTCTGCATATTACGGATAGTGATGTTTTTCAGTAAAATCTGAATGGGACTTAGAAAAGATGTGATGCATTGTTTAATGCAGTTGTCCCGAACGTTTACATTGTAGGGTTTGAGAAAAGATGTGATGCATTGTTTAATGCAGTTGTCCCGAATGTTTACATTGTAGGGTTTGTATTTGGTGCCTAGATGCAGGGAGTGGACAGCAGTATTAGAATTTTTATTTTCTCACCATGTACCTACTTTACCTCCACTTTACCACTTTGTTGCACCAGATTGTGCTCGTAATCAATAGCCATAAAATTTTCCAGTTCTTGCTAGAGAAGTCATGGTATCTGTTCCAGACATTCTCTTATTCATGAAAACAGGTAAAATGGTGAAGTGAATGGTGGTGAGTGGAAGCAGAGGTGCTGAATCCTGCTTAACACTGCAGAAGTTTAGCAAGCAGTGTTTTGTGCTCAAGGTGAACTGGCACACAGCTGGCAGGATGAAGAAGATCACTACGTTAACCAATGCCACTAAGCCAGCAAAATTCTTTGGGCAAACCCAATTATACTGGCAAAAGATTCTTATTGCTGATGTCAGGTAAAGTTCCTCCAAAGAGCTTTTGCCAGTAAAAGTTGTGTATCATTGCTGTATGATTCTGTTGGCAAATCTTTGTGCATAGACAAGTCCTTTGTTGTGCAGCCCTGTGTCCAACTGGGTAATCTTTTGTTTGTTTTGTCTTGGAAAAAGCTTGGGAATAGTCCATCTTTCCATAAAATATGTAACTTTTTTGCCATTTATGGCACAGGGCTCTTAATATATTGCATGTATTTCCTTCTTTTTAGTAGCTCCTTTCTAGATTTATTTAGAGCTAGAATTCTGAGAGTATATTAAAGGAAATGTAAGGCTTTGTATATAAACCCGAAGAGCTTTTCATCTGTCAGCTTACAAGTTAATATGATCACACGTTTTTCCTCCTGTTTCTTTTTTCCCCACTGTTAACGCAGAATGTGGGTGCAGATCTCTCAGGGGCGAGACACAACACTTGCCAAGTGACAGCTCTGGCTTTGATGAAAGCCTAGTGCTACCACAGTGGGAGCCCCGGGACACCAGCACAGATCAACTGGGGACCCAAGGCAGCAGAGCCCTGCTCAGGAGAGAAGCTCAAGGGAAAGCACCACAGGGGTGGATAATTGAACTTGTGCTAAGTAGCATACCATGTGTATGCAGTGTCCTGTTTTGCTCAGTAGCAAACTTGCTGACGTAGTGCATGTGCTGTTGTCTGAATTCCAAGATCCACAGCTGACTGCCATCGTTGGCGCCTCTGTGAAAGTAGGTGCAGATGGGGGGGGGCGCGAAGTGAACTGTCCCAGGCTACTGTGACATCAACATAAGATGTGCTCCAGTCTCTACATACTCGGATGGGGGAGGTGAACTATCCTGGTTTGCTGTAACAAAATCTTCTTGTGCCCTACACCCACTCTTCATTTTTGTTAAATATTCTGGTTTAGAGCAAGGGGTGAGGGGCTATTGGTTTTTTTTCCATATTCTCCATAGTTTTTACTGTTTTCAGAGACAGTCTTCGTCTCACTTTTCCTGGGATGTAGTATCTGAGAGTATCCTTATAATTATTCTGTGTATCATTAGTGGAAGAGTTGTGTGTTTTCTGTAAGGGTATGTGGAAGGAGAGAGCATTAGCTCATGTTAAATGTGTCTGGTCAAGGACCTTTTCAGTGCTAAAAGGGGACAATAAGAAAAAGGGGAATAAATAGGAACATTCTGAGACACAAACTTGACCAACAAAAAGTAAGGGAGGCAGTGACAAGGACAAGACCTGGTTGGTCACTAATTGATGAGGGTATGTGGAATGTGGGAATGTTTATTTCTGTGAGATTATTTAATTGAAGACCTTGTCAAAAGGGATTATAAGGAAGAAAAGGATGCCATAAACAAAATAGAGAGACACAAACCTGCCAGACCAACTTAATGGAGACAAAGACAAGAAACAAACCTGATCAGTCATGTTTAACTAATGGGCTATCAGGAAACTGCATGTGAACAAGGACTTTGTGACCGATAAGGTTGCAGACCTGGTGGTGCAGGGTGTTGAAGGGGGTCAGTGGGACTATGCCAGCTGAGGAGGCAATGTGAAGGGGAAGGGAGTCTGGGACAGACAAAGTGGGACCAGATAGAAAAGGGGTCAATCACGTGAACTGTGGCCAGTCTTTACACTTGCGTGGCTGAGCCCTGTGCCTGATCACTGCAGTCTGTCCTATTTTATTAGATCTTTTTTTAACTATCTCTCTGTGTGATCTCACTCAGTATCCCATGTGTGAGTGCTGCAGGGACTAAGTGAGACCATCTTGAGTGGAGACGAGGCCAGCAACTGGGGTCTCACTGGAGGTGTAGGCACCAATATGTCTGCAGTGTCAGCAGTGGAAGTGAGTGGGGGGTCTCGGTGTCAGGAGTTGGAAGGGCTGTAGCCCTCTGGATTATCTCGTTGGCTTCCTACAGACTTTATACCCGTAGTGCCAGCTGGTGGGGGGACTGGTGTGAGTGGACTGGGTGCCAGCAAGAGGAGTCAAACCAGGGATGTGGGCACCCCTGGCCTGTGTCAGGTACTGGAGCAAGTGGGGTCTTAAGTACCAGCTACCAGGGTGGATGAGTGTCTTGGCTGCCAGTTCCTGGAGCAGGAACAGTGTGTGACCCACTGTAGACAGCTACCAGGGGGAACCAGAGTGAGTGAGTGTCTCAGTGTTGGTGGCAGGAGCAGGACCACAGGTCATAGCCCATGTGTCTGGTGCCTGCTGCTGGCAGGGAGTGAGTGTGTGTGTCTTTCCCAAACCTGCTGTGTGTGAGGGAGGGGTTGTATTTGCTGGCCATCTTCAGGCTGGACCAGTTGGTGAGTAGGGGGGCTTTGGGACCAGACTGGATGTCAGACAGACCGAGGTTTCATGCATGTAGTTAGGGGGAACCTCCGTGTGTGGCATGCCTATGCAACAAGTCTGTGAGTGCCGTGTGTCTGCAGCAAGCATCGAGCTGGACCAGCTAGCGAGTCAGGGACCCGTGGGGCAGGTAAGGGGGCCTAGGATTGGGGCAGGGGTGCTGGGTGGGCAAAGGGACCATGATGGTACTTGGGATATCCATGAACATGTGTGTGCCTGTGAACCTGGAGAGTGCCATGTGGATGTGCCTGCACTAGTGACCTTCTGTCTCTGCCAGCCCATGAGGAGGAGGGGACTTGGCTGTCAACCCTTGTTGTTTGTGTGTGTCCTGTATGTGGGTGCTGTTGAAGGCTGTGACCAGCCGTGTTGGTGCCATGTGTGTGCTGTGTCTCTGGGACACATGCTTAGTTTTACTACTGGTTGAACCTGCAAGCTGGTTACTACTGGTTGAACCTGCAAAAAGGAAGGCAGCAGCTGTGTCCCTCAGCCTGGGATGAAGACACCACCACCACCCCGCTGCCTGGGCACACTGGACTGGGCAGGAGGAATTCCTGGGCCCAGAGGACGTGTGTGCTCCTCCTGTAACAAATCTTAAGTTTCTTTTCCTTGCTCTTTGAAGAGGAGAATTGCTGCTTTTATTGCTTTGGCATCTAATGTTTGTATTCACAGTCTCCAATATGTAGGGGATCGAGAGCTCTGTCACCATGGTGAAAAATCGTGAGATATGTTAGCATAATGATGACTCATCAATACACTGGAACAGCAGGCAGTATAAATAACTAGTCTTGTTACTCATTTTTAACTACAAGTACCTTTGTCCAAAGTAATTCCTTAGTTAGGCTAAAGATAGATAAAGATCAACCCATATTTCTTGTGCAGTTAGTGTATATGTGGACCAAACATGGGAAGGAAATACTATTTTTGGAGTGGACAGAGAAAATAAAATGCTCTTTGAAAGTGCATTTGAGGGGACTGATAATTTTGGTATTAATCAGGCTGATGGCTTAGCTCTGGAAATGACATACTAGGCAGTGTTGTTTTAGTCAAAATTTGCGTGCAGATCTAGATAGCTGGCTTTTGTAAATGATTGGCAGACTGCTGGCAAGGACTGGGGAAAACAGACGTAAGATTAATTTCTCTCTTTAAAAGGGTCTACTTTGTCTTTGGTGCTTGGCAGCACACAAAGATGGTGTAATTAATGCTTCAGCTTGTGTGGCCTGTATTGTCCTTTGTTTGCTATCAGATTAGACCTAACTTTTTCCCACATTGAAGGTGGATAAAATGCAACTGTAGGTAGATAAGAACAGTCTTCTAAGAAGTACCCCAGTCACACACAAAAGCCAACAGATATAACACTATTTCCTTCTTCATAATAGTAAGGATTAGTTACATTTTATCATTAATGTAAAAAATCAGAAGTAGAGAATGTTTTGATACAGTTTTCTGCTTCTCTTGTGGGCTTCTGTTCAGAATGCAGGAAAACTTTATAGATTTCTCTGTTCCTTTGTATCTTCCAAATAAATGGTTTTGTTATAAAGCTTGCTCCCTCAGAAAACTTCCACCTTTATTATTCACAACTTTTTAATGTAGAAACATCTGTGGGCATCATTGTATACTTACTCTTCTCAGAGCTAATACAGATAATTGATAAAAACCGTCCATTACATCATTCTACATGTATCTATCTAGCCTGTGACATGCTTCAAGACCTGAGGTAATGAAAGCTGAAAGTTTGAGGTAGTCAGTTACTATAGTGGTTATGGCTGTCAAAATATCTGAGTAGATAATAATTGTTACAGTTTATTGCATTGGTTACAGCATATTACTAAGCTGACAGTCCACAAAAATGTTCTGTGTGACCTGCTTCTGAGTGACATTCTAGGTAAGTGTTTGGAGGAGAACAGAGTATTACATGTTCGTTGACACGCAGGTATGGGATATTTGTTGCATTTACTTTATCTGTTTATGTTGTCATTGCTTTTTAAAACGAAGTAAAACAACTAGTCAGCATGGTTTGGTCACGTAAGTGGCTTTCTTTGTCTTGGTTCTAGGGTCGTGGGGCACAGGCCATCCAGAGCTTACTAGACCTGAGCTATATAACGTACTTTAAATGAGCTTAGTCTTGGCCTAACTAGTAGTTAGCCTGGAGTTTGGAGTGAAATTTAGTATAAATGACCACAAGTCAAAAGAGAGGAAAAATACCTTTTTTTTCTCTTAAACACCCGGACAAAGCTGTTAGATGTTAAAAAGAGCGTGCTTGCACTGGAAAGAACACTGGAGGACAAGCTATATGTCAAAGGTAACCTACCAAGAAGCAACAGATAATGTGCAGAAAATGATAGGCCCCTGTAAAGCTAAGAACCAGAGCAGGTCCGTAGTCTAGTCTACAGGTAAATCTGAAATAAGACCTCTAACAGTCTGTGGGTTACCAGGCTCTGAGAGGAGCAGTTTAAGAATACTAAGCCATTGCAGAAAAATTCCATTTTCTCTGCATTGGCCATCTGCAGTTAAGTGCAAATTTGGGGTCATTTTGGTTAATTGAAATAATGCTGTGGTAGACTGAAGTGGAAGTGGTGGGCTGAGTGGACAATCTGGAGAGCAGCAAAACATTACAATTTGGCTTGCACCAGGGGTGTTCTGTCAGAGAAGTCTATGTGATGTTTGGACTCAAGGATGGATCCAGTGTGGTAGTTCATGTGTTGCTTTTAGGTTTTGTGTGTTCAGTTGGTGAGCTCTGGAGTAGAACTTGTATGTTCTATATTTTCAGTTGTTATACTTGCTGACAGCGTGACATGTTATAATTTTGACAGAATAGTGGAGTGAAGGGGGGGATGTTTGTTGCATTTGCTGCTGGATTCAGAGACATCTGTGGGAACTTTTGAGAAGAGAGACAGTTTTATTTAGTGATTCAATAGCATGGGCACACAGTGAAGAGGAGAGGTAGTTACTTGTGGTCAGAACCAGCTAAGAGAACGTTACTTGGAGGTGAATGGTCTCTGCACAATTATAGTGAAGTACAGAATCTTAACCAGAGAGGGTTTTTTTCAGGTTAAGTGCAAGTACTTTGCAATAACCGTTATTGTACTAGTACATGGAAGGATAAATCAACTCTGTACTGAGCTAGCAGAATTAAAATAGGCTGCAGTACAGAGCAAATGTCTAAGTAGCTGTGTAGGTACGTCTGTAGGTACCTGATAGGAGGGAAACACAATACAGAGTGCTAGCACTGTGTAACATCTGCTTACTGATAAATACAGATTCCATTGTTGTGAGGACTCTGCTTCTACATCTTTTCATGCTTCTGTAGCCTATAAATGCCGGGGCAGGAGGGATGTAAAATAGGTTCTGCCTTATTTTCTTCATGTTACTGTCTTTTCTGATATAGTTTCGGGTTTGCATGGATGTTAGAATTTTTATCTTTTAATGATGGTAAAATATAATTTAGTAGTAAATCTTTTAAGGATTAGAGAGCCATCAAAAATCTGTGTTATAAAGAATAAACAGGCAACTACTTACAGATGTTTAATTTCATGGTGTTTTAGTGCAGTACTCGATAAGTCACTCAACACTGCTAGCTGCAAAGCAATACTGAAGTATGGATTGTAATTCACTCATCTGGAGGTGGGTTTTGGTTTTGTCTTGTTTTCTTTTTTTGCACTGGTATAGAGCGAAGACAGTCCGAGTCCCAAGCGACAGCGCCTTTCCCATTCAGTCTTTGACTATACAGCAGCATCACCGGCCCCATCACCACCAATGCGACCATGGGAGATGACATCAAATAGGCAGCCTCCTTTGGCTCGTCCCAACCAGCACCACTTCTCAGGGGAACGATGCAACACACCCGCAAGAAACAGGAGGAGGTAAGCAAGCTGTGTAGATTGGGAAACAATTTCTTATTCTTCCTGTTTTGCTCAAGGGAGGTACATTTCAGGCAGCACCAAGTACATTACAAATAGTAAACATGTTAAAATTTCCATCGAGCTGTAATTTATTATAGTTGTAACTGAAAAGTTAATGGAAGTAATTCAGGTTGATGCACCATCCCATAAATTGTGTGAATAGACAACTTGGGGAAAGGAGTGCTTATTAACGTTTTTAATTATGAGCCTGATTCTCTTTCACTCTGCACTGGAGCAATAAGCATTTAGAAAAATGTGAGGAAAAATCTTTCTCGTCAGGGTACTTTTAAAGATACTAAGAATTACTGATGTACCATAATTTTCACTGCAATCACAATTGTTTTCTTACATAAAACAATCTAAATAAAGAGCATAGATAGTGACTGGGGAGAGTGAGAAGGTTACTGTAGTGTCAAATGGTTGCTGAGGTGAGTGATTCACATGTAATAGGAGTTAGATTTTCACGTTGGTTTTAGCTTGTGGCTCATCAACTTTTCAAAATAGAGATTCTGAAAGACATTCCAATGGTCATGGAAGAGTGGAGATTTGGATGGCCAGGTTGAACTGGTGCCTGGATGGGTGATAGTATAGGAAAGCATAAAACCTGAGACTTCTTTACTGTTCTAGTTAAACTAATTATCCATAACACAACTTTTCATTGCCTCACATTCTACCTCAAAAATGCTGAATCATCTAATGCAAGTTAAAACACTGTCCCACTGTTTGCTTCTGAGAAACGTGGCTTGGTTTGTACTAAAATTAAAGTGTTTGTGCTTCTTCATGAATATGAAATATTAGACTTAAGAAGTGCAAAGCTGGTTTCCTGCTGATTACAGAAATAAAATTTGTAAGCCATGGTCAGTCAGGGGTAGTTTTGAGGCAACAGACTTTGAAACTTGCTAGTTTCATATCTTTGCTTCAAGTCCATAAAATCTGAAAGTTTTCAGTTAGTGGCATTCAAAATACACAGTTCTCAAAACAGCTTGTCAAACTTTAAAGGCTGAATTGTGAACTTGCAGGGTTATTGTAAAGACAGAAGATTAGACCTTTTGTACAATTTGGTAAAAAAATGCCCCACAGGGGTGTTTGGTCCACAAAGTGTTTTGTACCCTAGAAAGGTTTGAACTGAGATGCCTAGAATATGCTGCATTTGACAATTTTTGTTTGGTGTCCACCCAGCCTACACAGATATCTTTGCAGTGTTCATGAACATCTCCGACAGGGCAAGCAGAATGCTTAACAAGCTAAGTGCCAGATAGCTGAATCTAGGCAGGCTGGATATACTGTTGGATGAAGGAGAAGAATGGGATGTGTAGGAGATGAATGTGCGTGGCACAAGTGTCTGACATTCAGTTTCAACTGTTACTGAGGCAGTGGCCTGTGACTTGCAAGTAGACTGCTGCAAATGTGGAGACACCTCAAGTGCAGAGCCATGTTCAGCCTGACAGGAGCTATTAGGTTGGCGGCAGCATTGTGGACACAAAGCATTACACGTTCTAGGGCCAGCTGACCTGCTCTTGGGTAGTACCACCTGATTTTGCTTTAATCAGAGACTTTTGAATCATAGAAATCATAGAATCATAGAAAGTTTTGGGTTGGAAGGGACCCCTAGAGGTCATCTAGTCCAACCCCCCCACAGCGAGCAGGGACACCACTAACTAGATCAGGTTGCTCAGACCCCTGTCCAACCTGGTCTTGAATGTTTCCAGGGATGGGGCCTCCGCTACCTCTCTGGGCAACCCGTTCCAGTGTTTCACAACCCTCATTGTAAAGAATTTCTTCCTTATATCTAGCCTAAACCCTACCCTGTTTTAGTTTAAAACCATTACCCCTCGTCCTGTCAACTGCTGTCTCTACTAAAAAGATTGTCCCCATCTTTCCTATAGGCTCCCTTTAAGTACTGAAATGCTGCAATCAGGTCTCCCTGCAGCCTTCTCTTCTCCAGGCTGAACAAGCCCAAGTCTCTCAGCCTGTCCTCATAGGAGAGGCGCTCCAGCCCTCGGATCATTTTTGTAGCCCTCCTTTGGACCCGCTCCAACAGTTCCATGAATGTGTCAGTACTTTGTTTCCCTGCAATTGAGTCGGGGCATTTTTTAGCTTGGCTGCACTGCTGCATTTGGGCTGGCTGTAGGTCAGTTCCAGAATAGTACCACACCCAATCTCCTCTCCTAGAACAGGATCGTTAGGGAGAACAACGCATACGTGTCTCGTATTTTCCAGGAGGTTTTTCTGAGTCTTAGAATGCTCTGGAGCCATATCGGAACTAATAACTACTCTCATGGATCAAAGCCCGATTCCTTAACATCATTGTGAGTGCATCTGTTACTAATGCTTCAGATGAGGTTATGCATATGCTTGTGAAGCAAATTTCCTGTTTTCCCTGCTTTGTTTTCTCTCTTCCCATCACAGAGCGATCTCAGAGTTAATGGGGTTTTCAGATGAAGATAAGATGAAAGGCGCACTCCAGTTGCAAATGGTCGTTCAGCTCAAGGGAACAGACTAGGGCAAGTGCAAACAAAACCTCTGAAGTGTGTGTAGTGTGGATGTCACTCTGACCCAACATCATCAGCAGTAACTCTTTTGTCCTACCAGTTCACTCATGTTGGTCAGCGCAGCCTGTGCTGGTTTTTTATTATCTAGATTTTTGCATTGTCTGGGTTACTATTCAGACCTTATCTCTTTGTATTAGGGATGTTGTACTGCGCCTAGCACAATAGTGGCCTAATTTATTGTGGTTTTTTTCAGATTCATTGTAAGCAAATAAATACTGCATTTAGAAAGGTAGCCTTCTGATACGAATTTGAAGAAGGATGTTATTTTTGTCCAGCTACTTATAGGACAGATAAATTGCGAAAGTAAAAGCATAATGCATGCCTATATGAAACAGAGGAGGCCATTCCAATTTGGCTTTATGAGTCATTGTGAAATAGGGAGATCTGTACCATTGCTGTGCCTCACCTTTCATCTGTGCTTCCTTTCCTTGTCTTGAATGTAATTGTGACCTAACGAGATGTAAGAATGTGCTACTGCAAAAAAATTGCCCTTGTTAGAAAATACTACAATCTGCAAACACTGACTCGGCAGTTGTGGATACCTTTTGATGGCTGTTCCTACTTTAGGGTAGGAATTCCTGCAATTTTTTCGCTGCTTCCATCCTGGCTCGGTTTTAACTGGACATTTACCATGTTTGTACTGTACATGTAGAATCAGAGGAGGTTTTTTGTGAGCATTTTTTAACAACTTCAAGCACAAGTTCCTCACTGATGTTAAATAGTAATTTAGACCCATGTCTTGACTGTTCTTCTGAAGTAATTTGCAGTAATTCAGGAAGTGTGTAGAGCTGTGTATCCAGATATTCTGAATTTTGGTGAATGAAAAGTATGGTTTTTTCACAACTGTTCATCGGAAAAAAAATCAATTTTGCTTTTTCCACAGAATGATATCTATTAATTTAAAAAAACACTCCAGGAGTTTTGCCAGCTTTTGGTGGCTGTACTTTCTCATAATTCTGAGTTCATAGAAAACTAAGGCCCGACCTTTTAACAAAGACAGGGGTAAGAGTAGTTTTATGAGAAGCTACCTTGTCTAAGTGCTGGTGGTGCTTAGAGAAGTTCTGTTCTTCCTCCAAAACATAGGAGCTCTCTTTTGTAACTTTCCTCTATTCCTGCAGCTTTTCCAAACAAAAATCCTCGCATAGAAGTTTTATGTTAAAGTATTCAGAACATTTCTGTTTCATAGCAGGAAATAGCAACTTAAAAGCAAACTTAGTACTCAGAAAAATAGTGCTCTTTTGTACTAGGAGTTCCGTGGTTACAAATCACATACACTAGTTTTATCTAACGAGACTGTAACAACAGGTGTATCATGCTGGTAATACAGAGACAGAGAGTGCAACAAAAACTCTGGGAAAGGAGACTGGAATTCAGACAAATACGTTAGTAAGACTGTAAATTTACGTTCTCGGTGCTTATAAGAAAACGCAACTTGTATGTTCTGACATGATAATTTGTAAAGATAGAGAAGGCTGTGCATTTTTTTTGTTTGTCTGAGGAACGCTGTGTTACAGGCTGGCATTATGCCTGACTTGTCATGAATTAGCATTTTTTTCCGTTCTAAGGCAATAAGGGCATACCATCCCCGTGAATCAGCACAGAAAAATAGTGGCTTGAGACATTGCACCATACATATAACCGTAATTAGAGATCTGTTTGCAGTCACAGGGCCACAGCCTCATTGCAATTACAGAAACATGGTGGGACAGCTTGCATTACTGGAGTGCTGCCATGGATGGCTACACACTCTTGAGGAAAGACAGGCCAACAAGGCAAGGTGGTGGATTTGCTCTGTATGTGAGGGAGCAACTGGAATGTATTGAGCTCTGCCTAGGGGCGGAGGAAGAACAAGTCGAGAGCTTATGGGTTAGATAGAATTAAGGGACAGGCTCATATGGGTGACATTATTGTGAGTACTACAGGCCACCTGACCAGGAGGAGGAAGTTGATGAGGCCTTCTACAGGAAGTTGAAAGTAGCCTCACAGTCACAGGCCCTGGTTCTCATGGGGGGACTTCAACCACCCTGACATCTGCTGGGAAGACCACACATCCAGGCACATGCAGTCCAGGAGGTTCCTGCAGGGCATCGATGATAACTTCCTGATGCAAGTAGTGGAGGAGCCAACAAGGAGAGGCA